GTGACTGTATAGAACAAAAAAGAAAGGTGCTATCCCTCATCATAAATATATCTTACAGTCTAATTCGAACTTGACCCAGGGCTCTGTTTCAGAAAGCGGGTCAGATGTTTGACTATATTTAAGATAAAACGGGTATTATAAACCAAGATAGCCTTCCATAAAGTGTACAAGCGCTACAAGATTCATAAGAAACGCTCAACACTTGACTATATATAAGATAAAGGAGTATTATAAACCAAGATAGCCTTCCATAAAGTGTACAAGCGCTACAAAGATTCATAAGAAACGCTCAACACTTGACTATATATAAGATAAAGGAGTATTATAAACCATGATAGCCTTCCATAAAGTGTACAAGCGCTACAAAGATTCATAAGAAACGCTCAACACTTGACTATATATAAGATAAAGGAGTATTATAAACCATGATAGCCTTCCATAAAGTGTACAAGCGCTACAAAGATTCATAAGAAACGCTCAACACTTGACTATATATAAGATAAAGGAGTATTATAAACCATGATAGCCTTCCATAAAGTGTACAAGCGCTACAAAGATTCATAAGAAAACGCTCAACACTTGACTATATATAAGATAAAGGAGTATTATAAACCAAGATAGCCTTCCATAAAGTGTACAAGCGCTACAAAGATTCATAAGAAACGCTCAACACTTGACTATATATAAGATAAAGGAGTATTATAAACCAAGATAGCTCTTCCATAATGTGTACAAGCGCTACAAAGATTCATAAGAAACGCTCAACACTTGACTATATATAAGATAAAGGGAGTATTATAAACCATGATAGCCTTCCATAAAGTGTACAAGCGCTACAAAGATTCATAAGAAACGCTCAACACTTGACTATATATAAGATAAAGGAGTATTATAAACCATGATAGCTCTCCCATAAAGTGTACAAGCGCTACAAAGATTCATAAGAAACGCTCAACACTTGACTATATATAAGATAAAGGAGTATTATAAACCAAGATAGCCTTCCATAAAGTGTACAAGCGCTACAAAGATTCATAAGAAACGCTCAACACTTGACTATATATAAGATAAAGGAGTATTATAAAACCAAGATAGCTCTTCCATAATGTGTACAAGCGCTACAAAGATTCATAAGAAACGCCTAACACTTGACTATATATATAGATAAAGGAGTATTATAAACCATGATAGCCTTCCCCATAAAGTGTACAAGCGCTACAAAGATTCATAAGAAACGCCTCAACACTCTGACTATATATAAGATAAAGGAGTATTATAAAACCAAGATAGCCTTCCATAAAGTGTACAAGCGCTACAAAGATTCATAAGAAACGCTCAACACTTGACTATATATAAGATAAAGGAGTATTATAAACCATGATAGCCTTCCATAAAGTGTACAAGCGCTACAAAGATTCATAAGAAACGCTCAACACTTGACTATATATAAGATAAAGGAGTATTATAAAACCATGATAGTTTCCCCATAAAGTGTACAAGCTACAAAGATTCATAAGAAACGCTCAACACTTGACTATATATAAGATAAAGGAGTATTATAAACCATGATAGCCTTCCATAAAGTGTACAAGCTACTACAAAGATTCATAAGAAACGCTCAACACTTGACTATATATAAGATAAAGGAGTATTATAAACCATGATAGCCTTCCATAAAGTGTACAAGCGCTACAAAGATTCATAAGAAACGCTCAACACTTGACTATATATAAGATAAAGGAGTATTATAAACCATGATAGCCTTCCATAAAGTGTACAAGCGCTACAAAGATTCATAAGAAACGCTCAACACTTGACTATATATAAGATAAAGGAGTATTATAAACCAAGATAGCCTTCCATAAAGTGTACAAGCGCTACAAAGATTCATAAGAAACGCTCAACACTTGACTATATATAAGATAAAGGAGTATTATAAACCAAGATAGCCTTCCATAAAGTGTACAAGCTACAAAGATTCATAAGAAACGCTCAACACTTGACTATATATAAGATAAAGGAGTATTATAAACCATGATAGCCTTCCATAAAGTGTACAAGCGCTACAAAGATTCATAAGAAACGCTCAACACTTGACTATATATAAGATAAAGGAGGTATTATAAACCAAGATAGCCTTCTCCATAAAGTGTACAAGCGCTACAAAGATTCATAAGAAACGCTCAACACTTGACTATATATAAGATAAAGGAGTATTATAAACCAAGATAGCCTCCCATAAAGTGTACAAGCGCTACAAAGATTCATAAGAAACGCTCAACACTTGACTATATAAGATAAAGGAGTATTATAAACCATGATAGCCTTCCATAAAGTGTACAAGCGCTACAAAGATTCATAAGAAAACGCTCAACACTTTCAGAAAAGAGCTTCACACATTTTACCCATATGGGGAATCGAACCCGGTCTTCAGCGTGACTGTGGTCTGTTTGATTTCATTTGAGACCGATGAATTGCTCACTAACACAAAATCTAACAATTGCAGCACAACCAAATTTTGCACAGTCACATGAAATCGACAGACCAACTCTGATGATTTGTCTCATAATTTTGACACCCGAATAAAATGTTGTTTAACAAACGATCATTATTTTGTTGTCACTTTTCGCTATTTCTTCGGAGGGAGGACCATTTGCTGTACGCTTTAAGCAGTTGGCTACCCCACCACCCCAGACAGACAAGTGATGGAGTAGAATGCTGTGTCGTTGCATGAGGAGGCAGTAGCTGACACCAGTGTTACAAGTCTGAGACAAATGGAATCAATTGCAGATTGAAACTATCCGCATCTCCTGTCTCTCCGAGCAGATCAGTGTGTTATCCCCTAACGCTAACCAGGGTACCAATAAGTGATATTTTACTGTATTTTAGCAGAACAGGACTGAGTCCCCTGACCCTCTGTTCTCCGTGCAGATGCTCTGTTTGTTATACCCCGGAGGTGGTCGATGCTCGTTATACCCCGGAAGCGGTCGATGCTCGTTGCATGATGCCCTTTTAGCATAACTTTTGGTACTTTTGCGTTATAACGAGGAATTGTTTCCACGCTCACAAGTTGAACAGTGCGTTTCCTAATACTGTGCGTGTCCGAATGTGAGACCCATTATAAGTGAGTGAGTGATTTGGGTTTAACCCCTGGATGCCGACTTTTTGTTCAGGCGCACATTTTCATACGGTGTGAAAAGTGAACGTTGTGCGAGATTTGCGCTGGCGTGGTCCTGGATCTGCGTACGGCTATAAAATTACACAGACATGTCGAATATTAAATTTCCTATCCGTTGGTATAAATATAAGTGCAACTACCGCGGCGGTTTGAGAAATAGACCTTTCTAAATGTTATCCAATTTTTTGTTATGCGTTAATAAACAATAAATTTCTCCGCTTTTATCGCACACAGATAAAAGCACTGTGCTACGATTTTTTTTAATTTGGCATCTTTACGGAAAGTGTGAGCGAAGAAAATACAGCCTGATATCTAAAACGACATAGGTGTATATGAATTGGGTTTATGTGCTTATGCATAACGTTGTACGCTCAACATTAAAATGACTCACAATAAATGTCAAAATGGATTTTCTTCTATGACGTCAAACGACGACAGAGAGGTCATACACGTATAATGATAAGGCGCATAACTCCGCTATGCTTAGCGCTAGGTCAGTGTAACTCAGAAAACATGGAGAGAATTTGTTGTGGATACGGACGTTATATTTTCGGTATTTCCTGTTCTCCGATGAACCAAACTATTCAAATTCAAAGTTCCCCAATGTTAGCGGATAAAATCAGTCATGTTATGTTTTGTCTAAAGAGTGTTAAATTCTGGCAGAGAAGCCGAGACCTTTCACACAATTAATGGAAATTAGCGGTGAGATATATACTAAGCAGCATGCCAATGTCGTCTTTTTCCGACGTCGCAAAATACAGAAAACAAGCAATGACGTCAACAAAAATATTGTACTCTTTTCAGTAATTTCATTACATTTGAAGATATGGCTTGTACTCTGTCAATAATGATGCAAAATTAGTCAAAATGCATCTACACAAACAGGAGAATATAGGAATCTAAGAACTGACTAACTTGGATTAGGCCATCCAAATCCGCTATTACGTGCTTTCACATGTAGTAAGTTGTCATCTTTTCTTATAAATTGTGAAAGGTCGGTTGAACAAGAGTAAACACAATCGCCCTATCCTTCCGGTTACACACCAGTATTATAATGTATACGTTCACATTGGGGAACTTCGAATTAGAATAGTTTGGTTCACCGTGAACAGAAAATACCGAACAAATTCTCTCCATGTGATCTGAGTAACATAGACCTAGTGTTAAGCATAACGGAGTTATGCCCCTTATCATTATACGTGTATGACCTCTCTGTCGTCGTTTGACGTCATAGAAGAACATTCATTTTGACAATCATTGTGAGTCATTTTTAATGTTGAGCGTATAAAGTCATGCATAAGCACATAAACCCAGTTCATATACACCTATGTCGTTCATATATCAGGCTGTATTTTCTTCGCTCACACTTTCTGTAAAGATGCCAAATTAAAAAATCGTTCCACAATGCTTTTTATCGGTGTGCGATAAAAAGCGGAGAACTTTACTGTTTTTAACGCATAACAAAATTTCTACATTTCTACATTTCTGTGTTATTTTATAGCCGTACGCATATCCAGGACCACGCGAGCGCAAATCTCGCACAACGTTCACTTTTCACACCGTATGAAAATGTGCGCCTGAAAAAACCCTCGGCATCCAGGGGTTAAAACATTATTAGTTAAAAATACGTGAGTTCGTAAGCATCGAAAATGCCTCAACACAATATCAAACACGAGGATGCAATTGTGTCCTTTCAAACAAGACAATATTTTCTGCCTCTATTGTCTGAGAATGGAAGCCATTACCCGAAACATGTGTTTTTCTTCTATTTCAGATGGAAAGTGTCCTACATAGACTGGTGTTGCCGACGAACAATTTTACACCTCATCTTGTAATAAATCATGCATACCACACAGGTCTATAGTCTGTAATATATGGATACACCCATATGGCGTCACAAAAAATATCATCTACTGTAAACAATCTTCATGTCAGGACAACAAGCATACCACACAGGTCTATAGTCTGTAATATATGGATACAAGCATATGGTATCACAAAATATCATCTACTGTAAACAATCTTCATGTCAGGACAACAAGCATACCACACAGGTCTATAGTCTGTAATATATGGATACATGCATATACCGTCACAAAAATATCATCTACTGTAAACAATCTTCATGTCAGGACAACAAGCATACCACACAGGTCTATAGTCTGTAATATATGGATACATGCTTATACCGTCACCAAAATATCATCTACTGTAAACAATCTTCATGTCAGGACACCAAGCATACCACACAGGTCTATAGTCTGTAATATATGGATACATGCTTATACCGTCACCAAAATATCATCTACTGTAAACAATCTTCATGTCAGGACACCAAGCATACCACACAGGTCTATAGTCTGTAATATATGGATACACGCATATATCGTCACCAAAATATCATCTACTGTAAACAATCTTCATGTCAGGACACCAAGCATACCACACAGGTCTATAGTCTGTAATATATGGATACATGCTTATACCGTCACCAAAATATCATCTACTGTAAACAATCTTCATGTCAGGACACCAAGCATACCACACAGGTCTATAGTCTGTAATATATGGATACACGCATATACCGTCACAAAATATCATCTACTGTAAACAATCTTCATGTCAGGACAACAAGCATACCACACAGGTCTATAGTCTGTAATATATGGATACACGCATATACCGTCACCAAAATATCATCTACTGTAAACAATCTTCATGTCAGGACAACAAGCATACCACACAGGTCTATAGTCTGTAATATATGGATACATGCTTATATCGTCACCAAAATATCATCTACTGTAAACAATCTTCATGTCAGGACACCAAGCATACCACACAGGTCTATAGTCTGTAATATATGGATACACGCATATACCGTCACCAAAATATCATCTACTGTAAACAATCTTCATGTCAGGACAACAAGCATACCACACAGGTCTATAGTCTGTAATATATGGATACACGCATATACCGTCACCAAAATATCATCTACTGTAAACAATCTTCATGTCAGGACACCAAGCATACCACACAGGTCTATAGTCTGTAATATATGGATACATGCTTATACCGTCACAAAAATATCATCTACTGTAAACAATCTTCATGTCAGGACAACAAGCATACCACACAGGTCTATAGTCTGTAATATATGGATACATGCTTATACCGTCACCAAAATATCATCTACTGTAAACAATCTTCATGTCAGGACAACAAGCATACCACACAGGTCTATAGTCTGTAATATATGGATACAAGCATATGGTATCACATAAATATCATCTACTGTCAACAATCTTCATGTCAGGACACCAAGCATACCACACAGGTCTATAGTCTGTAATATATGGATACATACTTATACCGTCACCAAAATATCATCTACTGTAAACAATCTTCATGTCAGGACAACAGGCATACCACACAGGTCTATAGTCTGTAATATATGGATACATGCTTATACCGTCACCAAAATATCATCTACTGTAAACAATCTTCATGTCAGGACACCAAGCATACCACACAGGTCTATAGTCTGTAATATATGGATACATGCTTATATCGTCACCAAAATATCATCTACTGTAAACAATCTTCATGTCAGGACACCAAGCATACCACACAGGTCTATAGTCTGTAATATATGGATACACGCATATGGTATCACAAAATATCATCTACTGTAAACAATCTTCATGTCAGGACAACAAGCATACCACACAGGTCTATAGTCTGTAATATATGGATACATGCATATACCGTCACAAAAATATCATCTACTGTAAACAATCTTCATGTCAGGACACCAAGCATACCACACAGGTCTATAGTCTGTAATATATGGATACAAGCATATACCGTCACAAAAATATCATCTACTGTAAACAATCTTCATGTCAGGACAACAAGCATACCACACAGGTCTATAGTCTGTAATATATGGATACACGCATATACCGTCACAAAAATATCATCTACTGTAAACAATCTTCATGTCAGGACACCAAGCATACCACACAGGTCTATAGTCTGTAATATATGGATACACGCATATATCCGTCACAAAATATATCATCTACTGTAAACAATCTTCATGTCAGGACACCAAGCATACCACACAGGTCTATAGTCTGTAATATATGGATACACGCATATACCGTCACAAAAATATCATCTACTGTAAACAATCTTCATGTCAGGACACCAAGCATACCACACAGGTCTATAGTCTGTAATATATGGATACATGCATATACCGTCACAAAAATATCATCTACTGTAAACAATCTTCATGTCAGGACAACAAGCATACCACACAGGTCTATAGTCTGTAATATATGGATACAAGCATATGGTATCACAAAAATATCATCTACTGTAAACAATCTTCATGTCAGGACAACAAGCATACCACACAGGTCTATAGTCTGTAATATATGGATACATGCTTATACCGTCACCAAAATATCATCTACTGTAAACAATCTTCATGTCAGGACACCAAGCATACCACACAGGTCTATAGTCTGTAATATATGGATACAAGCATATACCGTCACAAAAATATCATCTACTGTAAACAATCTTCATGTCAGGACACCAAGCATACCACACAGGTCTATAGTCTGTAATATATGGATACATGCTTATATCGTCACCAAAATATCATCTACTGTAAACAATCTTCATGTCAGGACACCAAGCATACCACACAGGTCTATAGTCTGTAATATATATGGATACACGCATATGGTATCACAAAAATATCATCTACTGTAAACAATCTTCATGTCAGGACACCAAGCATACCACACAGGTCTATAGTCTGTAATATATGGATACACGCATATACCGTCACAAAATATCATCTACTGTAAACAATCTTCATGTCAGGACACCAAGCATACCACACAGGTCTATAGTCTGTAATATATGGATACACGCATATACCGTCACCAAAATATCATCTACTGTAAACAATCTTCATGTCAGGACAACAAGCATACCACACAGGTCTATAGTCTGTAATATATGGATACATGCTTATACCGTCACCAAAATATCATCTACTGTAAACAATCTTCATGTCAGGACACCAAGCATACCACACAGGTCTATAGTCTGTAATATATGGATACACGCATATACCGTATCACAAAAATATCATCTACTGTAAACAATCTTCATGTCAGGACAACAAGCATACCACACAGGTCTATAGTCTGTAATATATGGATACACGCATATACCGTCACAAAAATATCATCTACTGTAAACAATCTTCATGTCAGGACACCAAGCATACCACACAGGTCTATAGTCTGTAATATATGGATACATGCTTATACCGTCACCAAAATATCATCTACTGTAAACAATCTTCATGTCAGGACAACAAGCATACCACACAGGTCTATAGTCTGTAATATATGGATACAAGCATATACCGTCACAAAATATCATCTACTGTAAACAATCTTCATGTCAGGACACCAAGCATACCACACAGGTCTATAGTCTGTAATATATGGATACATACTTATACCGTCACAAAATATCATCTACTGTAAACAATCTTCATGTCAGGACAACAAGCATACCACACAGGTCTATAGTCTGTAATATATGGATACATGCTTATACCGTCACCAAAATATCATCTACTGTAAACAATCTTCATGTCAGGACACCAAGCATACCACACAGGTCTATAGTCTGTAATATATGGATACATGCATATACCGTCACAAAAATATCATCTACTGTAAACAATCTTCATGTCAGGACACCAAGCATACCACACAGGTCTATAGTCTGTAATATATGGATACACGCATATACCGTCACAAAATATCATCTACTGTAAACAATCTTCATGTCAGGACACCAAGCATACCACACAGGTCTATAGTCTGTAATATATGGATACATGCATATACCGTCACCAAAATATCATCTACTGTAAACAATCTTCATGTCAGGACACCAAGCATACCACACAGGTCTATAGTCTGTAATATATGGATACACGCATATGGTATCACAAAAATATCATCTACTGTAAACAATCTTCATGTCAGGACAACAAGCATACCACACAGGTCTATAGTCTGTAATATATGGATACACGCATATACCGTCACAAAATATCATCTACTGTAAACAATCTTCATGTCAGGACACCAAGCATACCACACAGGTCTATAGTCTGTAATATATGGATACATGCTTATACCGTCACCAAAATATCATCTACTGTAAACAATCTTCATGTCAGGACAACAAGCATACCACACAGGTCTATAGTCTGTAATATATGGATACAAGCATATGGTATCACAAAAATATCATCTACTGTAAACAATCTTCATGTCAGGACACCAAGCATACCACACAGGTCTATAGTCTGTAATATATGGATACACGCATATACCGTCACAAAATATCATCTACTGTAAACAATCTTCATGTCAGGACAACAAGCATACCACACAGGTCTATAGTCTGTAATATATGGATACATGCTTATACCGTCACCAAAATATCATCTACTGTAAACAATCTTCATGTCAGGACACCAAGCATACCACACAGGTCTATAGTCTGTAATATATGGATACATGCTTATATCGTCACCAAAATATCATCTACTGTAAACAATCTTCATGTCAGGACACCAAGCATACCACACAGGTCTATAGTCTGTAATATATGGATACACGCATATGGTATCACAAAAATATCATCTACTGTAAACAATCTTCATGTCAGGACACCAAGCATACCACACAGGTCTATAGTCTGTAATATATGGATACATGCTTATACCGTCACCAAAATATCATCTACTGTAAACAATCTTCATGTCAGGACACCAAGCATACCACACAGGTCTATAGTCTGTAATATATGGATACAAGCATATGGTATCACAAAATATCATCTACTGTAAACAATCTTCATGTCAGGACACCAAGCATACCACACAGGTCTATAGTCTGTAATATATGGATACATGCGCATATGGTATCACAAAAATATCATCTACTGTAAACAATCTTCATGTCAGGACACCAAGCATACCACACAGGTCTATAGTCTGTAATATATGGATACATGCTTATACCGTCACCAAAATATCATCTACTGTAAACAATCTTCATGTCAGGACACCAAGCATACCACACAGGTCTATAGTCTGTAATATATGGATACATGCTTATACCGTCACCAAAATATCATCTACTGTAAACAATCTTCATGTCAGGACACCAAGCATACCACACAGGTCTATAGTCTGTAATATATGGATACACGCATATGCACACAAAAATATCATCTACTGTAAACAATCTTCATGTCAGGACACCAAGCATACCACACAGGTCTATAGTCTGTAATATATGGATACACGCATATGGTATCACAAAAATATCATCTACTGTAAACAATCTTCATGTCAGGACACCAAGCATACCACACAGGTCTATAGTCTGTAATATATGGATACACGCATATACCGTCACAAAAATATCATCTACTGTAAACAATCTTCATGTCAGGACACCAAGCATACCACACAGGTCTATAGTCTGTAATATATGGATACATGCTTATACCGTCACAAAAATATCATCTACTGTAAACAATCTTCATGTCAGGACACCAAGCATACCACACAGGTCTATAGTCTGTAATATATGGATACATGCTTATACCGTCACCAAAATATCATCTACTGTAAACAATCTTCATGTCAGGACACCAAGCATACCACACAGGTCTATAGTCTGTAATATATGGATACACGCATATGGTATCACAAAAATATCATCTACTGTAAACAATCTTCATGTCAGGACACCAAGCATACCACACAGGTCTATAGTCTGTAATATATGGATACATGCTTATACCGTCACCAAAATATCATCTACTGTAAACAATCTTCATGTCAGGACACCAAGCATACCACACAGGTCTATAGTCTGTAATATATGGATACAAGCATATGGTATCACAAAAATATCATCTACTGTAAACAATCTTCATGTCAGGACAACAAGCATACCACACAGGTCTATAGTCTGTAATATATGGATACAAGCATATGGTATCACAAAATATCATCTACTGTAAACAATCTTCATGTCAGGACACCAAGCATACCACACAGGTCTATAGTCTGTAATATATGGATACATGCTTATACCGTCACCAAAATATCATCTACTGTAAACAATCTTCATGTCAGGACACCAAGCATACCACACAGGTCTATAGTCTGTAATATATGGATACATGCATATACCGTCACCAAAAATATCATCTACTGTAAACAATCTTCATGTCAGGACAACAAGCATACCACACAGGTCTATAGTCTGTAATATATGGATACACGCATATACCGTCACAAAATATCATCTACTGTAAACAATCTTCATGTCAGGACACCAAGCATACCACACAGGTCTATAGTCTGTAATATATGGATACACGCATATACCGTCACAAAAATATCATCTACTGTAAACAATCTTCATGTCAGGACACCAAGCATACCACACAGGTCTATAGTCTGTAATATATGGATACACGCATATGGTATCACCAAAATATCATCTACTGTAAACAATCTTCATGTCAGGACACCAAGCATACCACAC